TAAGCAGGAAGACCACAGGCTGCCAAAGGGCTTTTGTGGTATCGAGTGAGCAACAATAATTCAGGAGGTAAAAAATGACCTTGTCAGGTAGCAAAGTTTTCTTACAATTCCTGATTCCCTGTATTTCACATATGTACCTGTGATCTTGACATTGTCCTTCAGAACTCTTGTACAATAACATGAATATCACAGATTATGTATTGATATATAAAGGGACACATACATTATGGATATATAAAAGGATACATGTTCATATCCTTTATGCAAAACTTCAGACACAGCTTCTGAGAACAGAACAACACAAAATTTCACCCAGTCAGTGGCATGTATTGAAAGCTTGAAGGGCTGACTGGGCTTCTTGGAGGTAGACCAATCCTGAATTGCAATTATGAATTAAAACAATGGAATCGTTCTCAGGCTTGGACATTTACAGTCAGAAAATAGGAGCAGAAGAGGAGGCTAAATAGATAAAACATCCATCCAGCTAACTCTAAATTTCCCTAGTACCACTGATACTAAATGAAGGACTGTCAGTGGGAAGAGGTGGAGGGGAGGCAAAAATCACTACTCATTAATTTAATACACACTCTTTACTGTATGAACGTTTGGAGTTGTGGTCGTAATTTGGATTTTTTTTTTTTCTTTCTGTCTTTTCAAAGATCTTACTGAGTAGTTGTCATCCTTCAATTGTAAAGGCATGCAATTGTTTGGAATTATGACATTATTTTTATAAGAGGCATTATTTTTGTCTTGGTTTTGTCATATGGAGGGTACTGGTGAATGAAAAGCTGACATAAGCCATCAGTGTGTGCTTGCAGCCCAGAAAGCCAACCTTATCCTGGGCTGCATCAAAACAAGCATTAGCAGCAGGTCAATGGAGGCAATTCTACCCCTCTACTCCATTCTCATGAGACCCCACCTGGAGTACTGCATCCAGCTCTGGAGTCCTCGGCACAGGGAAGACATGGACTTGTTAGAGCGAGTCCAGGGGAGAGCCACAAAGACAATGAAAGGGCTGGAGCACCTCCCATATGAGGACAGGCTGAGACAGTTGGGGTTTTTTATCCTGGAGAAGAGAAGGTGCCAGGGAGACCTTATTGCAGCCTTCCAGTACTTAAAGGGGGCTTATAAGAAAAACGGGGACAGACTTTTTAGTAGGGTTTGTTGCAATAGGACACGGGGTAATGGATTTAAACTAAAATAGGGTAGATTCAGCCTAAATATAAGGAAAAAAAAAATTTAAACTAAAATAGGGTAGATTCAGCCTAGATATAAGGAAAAAAAAATATTATGAGGGTAGTGAAACACTGGAACAGGTTGCCCAGAGAGGTGGTGGATGCCCCATCCCTGGAAACATTCAAGGTAACATTGGATGAGGCTCTGAGTTTAAACTAAAATAGGGTAGATTCAGCCTAGATATAAGGAAAAAAAAATATTATGAGGGTGGTGAAACACTGGAACAGGTTGCCCAGAGAGGTGGTGGATGCCCCATCCCTGGAAACATTCAAGGTCACATTGGATGAGGCTCTGAGCGACCTGATCTAGTTGAAGATGTCCCTGCTCATTACAGGGGGGTTGGACCAGATGACCTTTAAAGGTCCCTTCCAACCAAACTGTTTTTTGATTCCGACTCTCTAATTAGCACTTGCAAAATGCACCAGGAGCAGGGTAGGAAACAGTCCTCTGTTTTGTGTTATGACTAAGCAGCAGAAACACAAACTGCCCAGCTTTCTGCCAGTGGACTGGAGCTCTGTTTCACACTTGTGGTCTCCAGTTGTTTAAGCTGAGGATCAGACATACCCCAGGCACACACTAACTGGACATATATACAAGATTTACTTCAAAGGAAACCTGAGCAAAGAGATGGATAGCAAATAGCCTTGTCCTTCTCTCAGAGTCATGATGTGGCAGAGACATATTCAGCAACTATTTTTGAAGCAAATTTGATTTGTCCTAGGTTGTATTTGAAGGTTTTAATTATCTGTCTTCCTGCATCAGTTTCCATATACACCTTAAATGCCAGATGGAGTTTACTGAACACAGATGAGTACATCTTACAAAATAGTTTCTTTCCATCTGATTTCACTATCTAAATGTAAATAGGCAGGTAGGCTTAGAAAATAGGTGGCAGGAGGAAGGAAACAAAATTCAGCACTGCACTTGGCCATAGGAAATTTCCATATAACATTGGCCAGAAACACTGTCACCTTGTGCACCTTGGTTTGTCCTAGCCACCCGTGGATACAAGTCGCTGATGTACATTTCATTGTCAAGGAAGTGCGCTTCCGTTATAAAGCTGTGTGCTATGCAGTTTGATAGGGAGCTACTTTTCCCTCCCTATACATCTTTTTCATCTAAGTTAACTAAAAGGTTATTTTATTAAAGACTCAAAGGTATCTTCAGCTCTTAATGCGAACACACAAAATGCCATTACTAAATTATAGATTAGTTTGCATGCCCAGATTAATTTTGGAACAAGAGAATTGAACTTCAAAGCCTGGCAGAGGTATGTGTCTGAGAAGAAGAACACGAGCCATCCACATGGCAAACCTGGGTTGAGGGTGGAAGGAGACAGAGCTTTCTCACCCGTGGAGAAACAGAAAGGGCATGTGTAAGAAATATGAGATAAATATGCTATGCTTGCTGCTGGGGATTAGTCTCCCGTTTTGGCGTCACATTTAAGGAAAATGTAGTGAAGTTGAAAATAATCTGAAGGAGACCAGCAAAAATAGTAAGTTTGGGAAAATTGATTAGAAAATAATAGAATGAAGGGATGCATGTGAAGAGGATAGCAATCTCCATGTATGTAAGCAGCTGCTTTAAAGGAGAGATCGATCACCTGCTTATGGGCAGTGGTGGTAGGACAAAGAGTAATTGCCTTAGCTTGCAAGCATGTGTCCTGGGGGAGGGAGGTTAAATGTGAGACTAGATACATACTATATCTAAAACTGTTTACCTCGGGGACAGTAACACCCATTACTTTCATAGGATTTTTTAAGAAGAGGGCAGGCAAGCATATCTGACAAGGCAATAAACCTCTGGCTGAACTACAAACAATCTTCTCTTGAGGAAATCTTGCATTATATTAACATTTAGTTATAAACGCTGCACCTCTATCGGGCATGAAAATTGCTTTCTCCTACTAATTTGTCTTTATATTAACCATGAGAGATCTCTGCAGATAGCTTTCTAAAATGGTATGTATCACATATTTCTAACAACATGGCAAAGCTTATCAGAGGTCAAAGAAAGCCCTGAAAGGTCAAGTAAAGAATAGTCTTTATGATGGATAAGTTACGAAGGAGTGATTGATAAATATGTATCTATAAATGTATGTGTATATAATGTATATATAATGTGTAAGAAAACACCTAAAATTTCTTTACTCATTTGTCACATGCGATTTTATTTCAATCATGAAGAAGATGGCATGCAAAATACCACAATCATTGATTGCTCCTGTCAGTGATCAGGAATGAAGGAAGCCCTAGAAAACCCACATTATGATTTTGCTGATACATTCTACTCTAATCTGGTTTGCACAGTGAAGAGGAGATGACTACCAGGCATCACTGCAAATTACACTTGACTAAGAAACTGAATATTAATGCCACTTTTTCTACAGTTAATAAAATCCACTTGCAACAGGATTAAAGTGAACGACCAGACATCTCAGTATAATGTCTTCATGCACAAAGCTAAATGTATGCCTTCAAGGTTTCTGTAACAAAACAGAAGTGTTATTCAAGTGAGAACAAGAGATTCAGCAAAGCTGTATTTAGAAGACACTGCGGCTTTTTTAAGGCTCTAAGCCAACAGCATAGCTTCCAGGTAGCTTTTCAGGCAGGATGAAATCCAGAAAACAAACAAGCAGCAGCCTACAGTATGGGCAGTGCCCTGTCTGATAAAAGCTTCTCTGTCTCAGGATGAAACAGTCAGAGGCAAGTCTCCTCCCATTATATCTCCAAAAGACGGGTACCACTTTGGGTATATGGTATAAGAAGGAGAAAGTATAGAAAGTTATTTACATTGATAAGAAAGATTTTTTGTTTGTTTGTTTTACTCAAACTTTCACTCATTTAGGGGTACGGCAGCAGGTATAACTGATACACCCTTGCAGAACAGTGGTATTAGTGTGCTCCAATCAGACATATGTCACATCATACTAGAAAACACAAAAAGGTAAAAACAAAAAAAAATTACTGCTGAATAGGATTTTTTTTTTTTTTTACTGGGTGGTAGATAAATCAGCAGTGTAACAACACCTACTCAAAGCACACATGAAGTCTTACGTTATTGTGTGCCAAACCAACTCAGACCTTAACTGTGTTCAGTCTTTACACACCCAGCAGAAAGAAACCGAGCCACGAATTTTGCAACCTTTAAGAAAAATAATCTCCCAACAGAAACCTTTTTTTTTTTTGCCTTCTGTCTTCTCTGAGACATTAATTAAAAAATAGCTGTGGTGAGTTTATGGTTTATTGAACATCTTTGGGCATGCAAGACTGGAGGGCCTCTGCGTAGCTGTGGTGAGTTTATGGTTTATTGAACGTCTTTGGGCATGCAAGACTGAAGGGCCTCTGCAACACAGAGTATAAGCCTCAGGGAGTCCCTCAGATTTCAGTCTAACTTTATCACAATGAACAAGAATTTAAAAATTATAAACAAACACAGAAACTCACCCTTGTGGTGTAAGCAGCTTCTGGGTCATCCTCCAGTACACGAGAGAGACCAAAATCAGAGACTTTGCATACCAAGTTACTATTGATGAGGATATTCCGAGCAGCTAGATCTCGATGGACATAACCCATATCTGACAAATATTTCATGCCAGATGCAATCCCTCGAAGCATGCCTACTAGCTGTATCACTGTGAACTGGGCATCATGTTTCTGGAAAACATTTGAAATGTCATTTCAGAGATTGTTCATGTTCCTCCTTGCACAGAATTTTTGATTAAGATCCTGGAAGCTCCTCAGTTGAAGAGCTCACGAGTCAGGGGTTGTGACTTAAATGCCACACATGCAACTACTTTGATCTGTGGAGGATAATCTCCTGACCAGCTGAGGGAAGGGGACAGATTTTCAGTTTGGGTAAAAATAATTTTTCCCATTCTTGCTGTCATAAGAATTTTAATTTCCTAGATGGGACCTGTGTGAAAGCAGCACGTAAATCTAGTTGTGTGTGCTCCTGAGACTGGAGTGTCAGGACATTAGAGAAACAGATGTCCAACTTCCCTGAAAGGCTAGTGAAAATCCCAGCCTTACCCAATGGACTAATGAAAGTTTTCTATTACACAAGCATTCTTTTTTTTTTTTTTTAATAAATTCAAATTCCATTAAATTTAAACTCATTCCTCAAAATTTTCCTCAACTGTGGGAACACAAAAATCACTTAAACAGACTGTAACTTAGCCTAGAAACCAATAGTTGCATGTATTTCTAATTGTCTCCTTTTAGACACATTTTAAATCTCACAGCTCTTAGTAATGCTGTTTGTTAACATGTAGCTTTGATATCGATATACAACTACATAGACAACAGGACAACATACATCTTAGTGCAGCTCTCAAATGAATTTCCCGGTGCTGTAAATGTATCACCATGGGCAGCTCTTCCTGCTGCTTCTTCCAGAATTTTACTAAATGCATGGGAGCTGGCTCTGCCATGTGTAGCGACCTCACGCAGACTGATTGCATTCATTTCGTTTTTGATCAATATACTTAGGTGCAATATTAGCATTGTAAACATTAGACAAGTATATGGCACAGTGAATGCTTAAAGAGTCTCTCGGAATTCCCTTTCATTAAGAAATACATTATTATAAAAGACTCAGCAGTTCCCTGTTATGAAACCTTGTTTAACTAGAGCCAGCACAAGAGGATCTATATAGACCTTGGAAAAGATTTAGGTAGAAATCAGAAGGTTTCTAACCATGAAATGAATGAGATGCTCAGACAGCCTTTCAATGGCAGTGGGGAAAGCAAACTAGTTTTAAAAGTCGTTTATAAAAAGAGCTATATGGCCTGAGTTGCCTATGATATTAATGAGTCACAAGGTTCTTATCTATGTTTACACACAACAGTAGAAAAAAAAAAAAAAAAAAAAAAGCCCCCACTCAAACGAACAAACAAGCTTAACAGCTGTTTTGTACAGTCAGAAATTATTCTCCTTTCCTCAGAGCTTTCTTCAAGGATTTTAAGCCTAAATAAAATATCTATAGGTCAGTACAGATATATTTCATTCAGATATACTGACACATTATTTATATGTATTTTACATGCTCCAGTAGAGATCATAACATATATAGTACATATTGAAACTAAAGTTGACAATATATCCCCTTTTGGGGTTAAACGTCTAGTTCAGTGTTATGAATTTGGGGGATAAAGTCATTCAACCATGGCAGAACCAAAGCAGTCTCCCAGCCACAGCTGAGTTTGCCCTAACAAATTAAAATTAAACTAGTGTTTCCCCTCAGATGGGATTTCATTTCTGCTACACTTCTTGTTTTGCTACAAGTAAATCTTGGTGACACAGGGAGAGCTTAAATTTTTTTAGGCTTGGTACCAACTTTGACAGAAAACAAAGATAAATCAACAACAGTATTAGTATGTCTAAGGTTGGGGAAAGAAAACAGGCCAATAAAGTTTGCTGGCAAAGCATTTCAAACACCCTCAGGGATTGGGTTGTTCCTTAAACTTTTCACATTTAGGGAAACAGCTCTTGGCTCAGTACTATTGGTTTACTGATAAAATTTCCTCAAATCTGTTCACTTTGGAAGTTGCTTGGTAAGACATACAGGCTGCCAACCAATAAGCATAACCACATTACAGGAATAATTTGGCCCTCAGAAAAAATGATTTTTATTTTTGTGCGTTTGAATGTTGGTTTGTATTTGTTGTTGTTTTGGTTTTTTTTTATAGATGTGACATACTAATAAAACTAAAATTCTCTTCATTTGGGAAAAATGCTTATTTCAAGCAGTCAAAATGGACTGGTAGATCCCTACCTGGCTTTCTGAGCACATCACAACACACACAAAACCAAATGGAAATAATGAAATAATGAAATATCAAGCAACAAGAGCTGATGATGAACCAGAGTAGAGTGGAAGAAAATTCATAACAAAGTCAGAACAAGAGATAGTTCTGCACCATCTAGTTTACTATTGCACTTACCCGCAGGAAGCTGTCCAAGGAACCATTTTCCATATATTCAGTAACAATCATAACTGGTTTACCTGTAAACAGATTACAGCGGTCAGGCATTTAAAATGAATACATAATGATCAGTAAAAACAGGCATTTTGGAAACGTGCCCAAATCTTCCAAATCCCAAGGATAATTTTACATTTAGAAAGACAGAAAAAGATGCATGGGCAAAACCAGTCCTGTCCACAACATAATTGTGATTCCACTGACATCAACAGAAATACAGTTATTTCAGCATAAACTAATATGACTTTTAGCAGCTCAAGTCTCAAGAAACAAAGTGAAGCATCCTGCATTTTCAGTATATGGTTGATGTTCATGTAACAGCTGAAGTTATGCAATGAAGTAGGTGTATTCTGCCATGCATTTGCCCTCCAGTTGTCTCTGGAAGGGAACTTGGCACTTACTGTGGAGGGAGTTGCAGTTTCTCTCCAGAGGCGCCCTGGTCTGCCTCCCCCTGTGGTGGGACCACTGACAACATGAACCTCCTCTCCTGCCAAGCACAACCTAGCTGGGGGCCGAACACGCTGCGTCCATGGGGCAGTGGCATGCTCTAAAGAAACAGCCCTACATCCTTGAAATGCCTCTAATATCTTTCAAAACTTGTTCATGCACATTCAGATCAGTTTGTGAAACCATTCTTTCTATCCTAAGGTATTTTGCAACATAACTAAGATTTTATATGCAGCTCTGACATGTTGGAGAGAAATGAAGGCAAAAAATTAATGCGATTATGGTGAAGTTTCCAGACAAAGGTCACTGCCCTGCTAATATTTTACCCTCATATGGATTTTATTATTTCATAATATTTTCTAAAGCTTTGGGTTTTTTTTTTCTCTTTGTGGTAGAGAGAAAGGTGGGTAAGAGTATTAAGTTATTTAAGGAGATGAATTATTATTTCACATATAATACAAGAAGGCATCTGACCATAAAAGTATGACAAAGGCCTGCATACTGTATAGCAGGCATGGTGGTATTTTAGCTTTTAAAATTTAACAGCATGAGGACTGACAGAGGTATCCAGTATAATTAAAAGCAAGAAAGCCACTAAAAAAGGGAAGTAAGTGTTAACAATTCCTTTTTTTGGTTTGTTTTCCAGAAAATACAGCTTCTACCAAATAGAAATTCTTAGAAGAGAAATAATAATTTCAAAGGATGAGTTTAACATAATAAGAAGAAAATCCTTTGTCCTCTTCACACGGACTAATGGGTTAAAGCATCTTCTTTCTGCTGTGCAAATGATGTGTTGTACTGTGGGAGTCACACTAATGGGTAATTGACTCTGTCATCCATTAACTAGTAGGAACAAACTCTTTATCCAAAACATTAATCTTGAATTATATAGGATATGGTACAGATAAAAGAGCTAATGATGTAAAACCTCCAAAAAATTTCTGTTGCTTTTTTACTCATGTTAGCGAGAATTATGCAGTGGAAGAAAAAGTGCCTATCCTACACTGTGTGTGTAACATTAATCCAAAGGCATTTCTGGTAATACACAGAAAATGTTGCTCGATCTTTCAAGTAAAGGGCAGTGCACCAACAGGGCAGTTCAAAAATTTCTGTGATAAATCCACATACTTTGAAACCAGGAGACAGCTGCCCGGTTTCTGCACAAACTCAATTTTATGACACATCAGAAGACTGAAATCAGAGTAAGAAGATACATCTTTCAAATTATTAGGAGAGCATCTTCCTGCCTTCCTCACCCATACTCAGGAAGCCCCAAGCACAGGGTTTCACTCTTGTTCAGCTGGAAACATGTCCATAATAAGAAGCATATGCTCTGAACCAACACAGTGCACTTTTAGAAGAACATTCTGCATTCATTTATCAAAGCACAGACGTTTATACATGATAACAACTGGTGTCAACAGTGTTGCTGAAATTTATTATACTAACAGGCTACAAATTGCTGTAAATTATTAGTAAACTAAGCAGAACGTGTGCTGGTTATTAAGACTACTGCCTACAGTGTGCCCAGGAGGCCGGTGTAGCAGGAAAACGCAGAACAGAAATCAATGTGAAGCAGGGGAACAACTCTGCATTTGAGCAAGGGACTGAAGTCTTATCTGGTGAGTGCACCTCCTTCATACTGCCTTTGTCCCACTGGCAAACCACAGCCACCCCAGGCCGAGAACTTCTTGTACCAAACTGTCCTGTTATAAGGATCACAAGAATTGCAGGTATGAGAAGTTACTTCAAAAGATCTGCTTAGTATGAAAGGATAGATCATTGCTAAGGGCCACCTGTCAAAGAGAATTTAGTTAATGAAGAAAATGTCATCTTGCCTGTTTATCATGCATTACCTGTACTGAGAGTGATCCAGCAAATACTTGACAGGCTCTCTACTGACTGTACCTAAACCAACACTTTGAGTGTGATTTAATATCTATCATTAAAAAAATGGACACTTGCTAATTTGTTATTACAGTATATTGGTTTGGTTTAAAACAACCAAACCCCTTTTGTCCTTCTATCACCCTACAGAATGTTAAAGAAAATAAATTACTATCTTTATTCTTTTTTATGTCATATGATTTTACCCAGTAAAATGCACACAAATAGTTTCAGAGCAGTTTTCTCAACTCCTGCATTAAAGCTGTCTGGAGAGGGTGCTGTGTCCCCGAGGCTTTTATTGACTTCAGCTGGGAATATGTAGGGCTTGCTCTCTCATACCTAAATGTGATAGGCAGCTGGCACTCCCTGCCCCCCCTGAAGCAGACAGCAGTCTGCTGTGAATACAGCTGAGTAGCAAATTACTAACAGTCACTTATACAGAAGGCATTAGTAACACACATTCGAAAGAAATGCACAAATTCCTGCATGCACAGCAATTAAATTATTTTCTCAAGTGCCACAGAAATACAAAATGTAACAAAATAGATTTTAGCTCAGCTGTGTACAGACTGATGCTGGCATTTCAAGAAATGTTGGGACTGCAAATCTTATTCTGGCTGTACAAAGCGTGTGTCACTAAAAAAGCAGGAGATAACTTGGATTTATACAGGCAGATCTGGCAGCCCTTTCCTAATGGGACTGTGAGACCTAAGCTGAATAATATCTTCTTTGTTATCTAATCATCAAAACTGACTTTCACAAATCACACCTAGAGAAGGCATTATTATTTTCATTATTATTTTAATTATGTCTCTTCTTAACGTGTAGGGTTTTACATATCTTTCACTATTTATTTTCAGACACATTCTTGTGGTTTTTTTAATTTCTTTATAATTTGTTGCTGTAAGCTATGAATTCTTTCATGCCTGCCTATGTTTGTCAAACCTTGAATCACACAGTTTTAAAACCAAGATTCCTTAAAACCAATAAAAACATCTTTTTAACAACAGAGCATTTGGTATACTTCTACCCAGTTAAAGTGGAAACATCCTCAGCACTTGCCAAGCAGTTCACTGAAATGGCAAGGAGCTGCTTTGCCAGCAGAGTCCTCTAGGATGAACTAGAAAACATCCTACTGATTTTTTCCACTTCCCTGAAAAATCTCAGCGCATTCCTGATTTTTTTTTTTTTTAATAATACCTCATACAAAATCTTATTGCTCTCCTATCTAACAACTACTTCAAGACTTTGATAATTAGATTTATCACCTCATCCTGCAATGGCAAGTGTAGCTGAAGTCTCTGAATATATGTCTCACAGAACAAGCTGGTTTTGGTACTTCATGCAACCTCTCTTTTGTACTACCAACTATTTATGCCTTTCCACCTCAAGGTAGAGGACAATCAGTACCACAAGCAATGAGAGCCAGAACTTGCCTAAATGAGGCAGCATCACCAAATCCTACCAGCTGCTCATAAGAAGAGCATGTAGGATCAGGGCAGCTTTGAGGAGGCTACTGTGCCTGCCACAGGAAAGCTGGGTAGGAACTTTTAAGACCAACACCACTGTTCAGGAACGCCTGTTACAACTTGCTGTTATCTTAACGAGCTGGGGAGGGTTCTTCAAATATGTTACTTTTCCAGGAACGTACTGTGTGTGGATGGAGGTTTCAATTATTTTTTTGTCTCAAAAAGAGAAAGTGATTTGTTATCATAACCACAGACCAAAATATGCTTTAACAAAAAATCCCCAAACCCATAACAAAACACCCAAGGCGGATTAAGAAAATGTCTGTTAGTAAAAAAATAAATATTATCAAAGGATTAAACCAATTTTATGACTGACAGATTAAAGCCCCAAGGTTTTTTTTGAGATTGGTATCAACAGGTATAAATTCTGAAGGATCAGATCTTTAAAATACCTCACACTGGTACATACTGAATATCACACGAAGTATTTTCCATTTGAGAAAACCATGTAGGAAAAAATTTGGACTTATTTATTAATTTACTAGTATGGGTTGCTGCAGCCAGGTAGGCTGTTCATTAATTTGTGCTAATGATAAAATCTAATGATTTAGTTGAAAGCAGAACATATTGGTTCAGGGCAATTAGGAAACCTTAGGACATCAGACTCCATGACTCCTAGCAGATTATCATCAAGTGCCTTTTGGCCACTTTGTAGCAATTTGTAGCTCTGGAGTTTATTAAATCTGCCAGTTCATTACTGAGCTGTATTCAGTAATGCATTCCTCAGAAATGCTCCTTTTTCTTAATTTTCTCTATATTTTTTTCAAGGTAACTATTTTTATTCCCCAATTTTTCCCAGCTCAGCAACCCAGGGTACTGTTTCTAAGTTCCCAGCAGCCTGAGAGCAGCAGGACCCCGTAGCTGCACTGCGGGCAATTGCCTCCAACACCATTCTTCATTGGATCCATCAGCTCATGCTTTCACACAGGTAAATATTTTTTCTGATTTTGAGAAAATACAACATGCATTGCAAAAGCCAAGCTATGTGTTTCTGCTGTTATCTCTTTTGAAGGAAATTTGGTGCATACTAATGGGGTTATAAAAGAAACATTTTTGGAAGGGTTTGCAGAGCATAAATGTGGATGATTCAGTTTTTAATTTGTTTCCTTGAAAGATCAGAGAATCACAGAATAACTTAGGCTGGGAGCTCCAGTAACACTTCCCATGCAAAACAGATGTCCCTGTCATATCTTACTTTTAGTGACGACTCCCTCTAATCGAATGATATTAGGGTGGTCAAACTGTCCCATGATGCTTGCTTCTCCCAGGAAGTCCCTTCTCTGTTTTTCTGTGTAGCCAACTTTCAGGGTTTTGATAGCCACTGAAATTTCCTTTTTAGAAGGCAGCTTTAGGCGGCCACTGCACACTTCTCCAAATTCCCCTAAAAAAGAGGAAAAACGACAAAAGATGAAATGTAGTTACTTATTTCACGGGGATTTAAGAAACAAGACTTAGCATTCAGCAAAAGTGCCTGAAGTGCGAAGTTGACCAGTGGGCCACAGACCAGAGGTCCAAAGGAGGCCTTTGGACAACTACTTAACATTTCCATGCTTGGGTTCTCCAGCTGTCAAGCTGGACAATGTGACTTATTTTCACTGCATATCCAGATGACTGCAGAGCAGAGGAATGCATAAATGTCACCAGAAAAATTCCCTTTTTGTTTCAGTTGTTGCACTTTGAGACAATAGTAGGAGGGCTAACCATGTCACTATGGGACCTGATAGTTCACCATGAATATTGTGCCCACTATTTATTGTGTGAGATCACCAAACAGAAAGTGGCAGATACAATTTTTTATGTGATGTTTACTTCTCTACAATGTGGTTTATCCTTTGTTATGTAACATCCAAAAAGAGTGCACATGGAAAATTGTCTTAGTATTCAAATAAACAAGTATTAAATATGTTGACAAATTGCTGGAAGAAAATGTCTCACTTGAAAATTTCTGTATTTAATTAATGATTACATAAAGCATATAAGGAAGTTCCAGCATCCTAAAACACTTGAGCAGCAACTGACTTTTGATTCCCAATTACAATACAATAAAAACAGAGAATGGATAAAATATACAACAAAATGAAGCCAAGAATTGCCCTACATGTTTGTTCATATTTAAAGACAAGGAAAACACTCTACTGAACGGAGAATAAAAGAACGGTGGGGTTTTTTTGTGGGTTTTTTTTCTTCCAAAAAACTAGACAGTGTTAATGGAGGGCTTTAACATTCATTTTCCAACAATATATGCATAGTCAGGTTCTTTTTGTCAAAATACATGAGATCTAAATATAAATAGCCCCTCATATGCCATATTTTGTCAAATAGTCCTGTATAGAAAGTTCGATTTGGAAACAAACAAACCCTATAAATGTAAATCTAGCTGGCATTTCTATGCAAACTGGGAATTTTGTTTTTATTTGTGAGTGAAACATCACAGAAAGAGTGATTATACTGCTTACATATGAGCTTTTCCCAACTTAATGTGTAGTGATTCTAAATGCAACAGCATTACTATGCCTCTAAAGAGCAAAGGCCCTTGGAGCTCGTTTGCCTATGATGAGTCTTTCTTTATCTCTGCAGCTGATTGTTTACATTAAGCAACATCTGTGAAAACTAAAAATGGCCAAAATGCACAGAAATAAAATATTTTTCATAGGCAAATTTAAATCATGTTGCTCTTCCTAGATTTAATGCTCAGAAAGGTATGATGGATTGACAGCCCTACAACATTGACTTCAGACATGATACCACATGGGATACATTTCACATGTTACATTCAGCCCATTTATCTGTGAATTGAAATTATTCCTTCATTAACTTGCCACCAATAAGGCTGGCATTAGAGTCCATGTCCCATTTGTGGCACTGCAATTCAGGAATGATAAAGGGAGTAATACCAATGACCAGAACCTTAAAAGTGAGGGCTGTGTGTTCACGTTCAAAGCTCAAGAAGCTGGAGTTAGTTATACACAAGACATGAGAAGAGAGTCATGACAACAATTTTGGCTTATTGAAATTGTAGTTAAAAATAAGATGGACACAAACTCCTTCTTCTATACACAAGAGGCAAACCAAAGAATAGTTGCGAATTACAATAAAGGCCAGTTAGATCAGGAAAAGAAAAATCTAACAGCAAGGACACTTGGACAGTACAAAATATTTTTTTAGGGAGGCTATAAACTCTTTTATCTTGGAGATTGTAAAGAATAAGCATCTGTCAAGAATGGTAACTAACAAGTTCTGGTTTGGGCAAGGGTGTGGACTTAATGACCTCTTGAGGTCACTTTTCAGCTTTATTTTCTAGGGTTTCTCTGTTAGACAGCCAATTTAACAAAAAAAAATGAACAGATGTGTCATAGGGCAATGACCTTTCTCTGTTGCTAACCCAGGCTAGATTTGAGTCAACAGTATAGAAATGGATGTCACCATGTCTTATCACCAGCAGCTGAGCTCCTTTATCCTCTAGGCATGGTACTGTGCTATTAATGTAATAACCAAAAAGATTAAAAAAAGGGTAAATCTTTATATACATATATACTACTGAAACAGAGCTTACATTACATCCATTGTTTCTAACATTATTTGTATTTCAGACTGCCAAGACAGGCAGCAGCTCAGAAAATGAATTGTAAAGCCTATTACTAATAACTAGTGGGTGTTCAGTTCTGTTCAGACATCTTAATTAAAAATATTCAACCTCTACAAGACAAAAAATCACTAGTATACTTCACCAAGAGCAAACACTGCTTCAGTTCAAGTACTAACCCCAGCTCAATACTGTCAGAGCACCACAAAGAGGAAGACCAAAGCACATCCTGAAAACAGAATGAAGGGAAAAAAGTCCTTGAAATAAATCTTGTAATGTTCAGATTTGTGCTCCCTTTTCTCTATGTTTTCATGGTCCAAAAAGCTATAACAAGCTAACCTCTTAAAACCATTGTTCAGTTACTGTCAATGGAGATTATAGCTATGATTTCAGCAAGTAGTCCAGCAGTCAATCCTTCAGTTCTGACTGGAAATGTATACCTGATATTTGTTTGACTTTTGGGAAAGAAAAGTTTTCAACTAATGTCCATCAGCACAGTCTCATTTGGCCATGACTGCACAATTTAGAACTTGGGTGATTGATTAATCAGATTTTACAAGTTCCTCAAGGCCAGCGGACACTGCAAGAGACTAAAAGTTGGACTCTTCACAGCAATAGAGCTTACTGTTGTCCGTGAATATAAAATGGGTTTACTTTCTTGGAAAATGATTGTGCTGGAAAAAGCTCACTGGGGAGCCCAAGGATGTTAACCTTTGGTTCTTTCATATACAAGACAGTATGGACACTACATAAGTTTATCTGTTGAACACCCATACTGATGTACAGTTACACTTCATCTTCTTCCTGCAAAACATTATTATACGGTCCCAGTAAGGAATGGAAAGAATCTCATCAGATATTGTTTAGGAGGAATAAGGACTTGTGTTCGAGTTGGAAAGTGGAAAACCTGGCACTGATTTTAAGAGATGAAATTAATGGCTTTTCATGTAAAGCCTTTCTGAAGTGTTTATTTTTAATTATGCTACACACATGAACACTGTATAACCTGACCTGCAGACTGATATGTCTATTTATACATGGAAAGCAAATAGTTATCATTAGGAGGGCTGTTCATGATATAAAGATCTCTCTTCAGGAAATCTTAATTTCTTTTTAAATAGGCTACTTAATGCACCAGTGAATGGCATTTGCTGTGCATTTAGACCCAGGGGACAAGTAAAAGATGACTCGGTGCAATTACCTACTCCCTTTACTTTCCTATGTTTTAAATCACGATTGTACTGCTGTGCACAGAACTCCCTCAGAGTTGGAGAGGCAGCTAAGCTGAACATTTCATAAACCTCGTGAATCTCAGCAACGTTCTACAAGCCCTCACTGAGACTCTGAAAACCTTCAAAATAAGTTAATGGACAGGTAGCCCCTAAATTTTAGAAATGCTTTGATTAATAAAATGATATGCTACAAGTATTTTTAAACTTTGAAAGAAAAGCAAATGCTTGCTTTCATCTTCCACAAAGCACATACTTAAATCTATACCAAACCAAGAAAGTACTTTCTGTAGTATTCTCTTGCGTGGTTTTAAACTTCTTAAGAGGTTTACTGAACTGGATCCATAAAAACAAACGAGTTGTTTTAAAAGAAAGAATTACTATAAAGAAAAATCTGAAAAAAGTGGCTCCTGACCTCAATTTTCTTATGCTTAGCCCCCCACTAAAATCCCTTATGTTTTTCTTGAGGTTCTCTTGCACAAGAATATTTCCTTATTGCATTTGGGTATGTTTTCAAAGCTATGTAAGCTGCCCTCTATTCTCAGAGACTTCTGGCTAAAGCTGTGAAAAACTACTTGGAAAAGTACCTCAGAATACCAAGATTACTTGCCTGACTTGAAGGTCTCATTATTTACGTCACATTTCAATGCAGTTAAATGAATCAGTCCTTCTCAAATCACTGTCTTTTTATAATTTCATTCACACTTGCATTTGTAAAGGAGAAGGGCAGGAAAAGACCAAGTCATTCACTCAAATAAGTCATTGACTCAAGTAAGAGACAGGAAATGCCTTTCTGCTTTTGGGGAGGAAAGAAGTGTTCCTGCAAAAGCAGCCTTGGAGGCACCCACTCTGAATGCATAAGCTACCACGTGCTGAACATGACAGAAGTGTAAAGTGATGCTACAAATGCATTTTGGAAGCTCCCAGCACTCTGTAGCCTGATTTTAACCTGTTCTTCCCTGCCTGGGCCTTCTTGTTGGCATCTTTGGCAAGTGCTAATAGGAAAAGCTAACTGCAATGTCGTATGTAGATTATGCTACATGAATCTGAGTCATGGCTCCAACAAATGGCTGCATTATATCTTGAATCCAAGCTTCAATGTAGAGGACCTGCAGGAACCCACTGTTGCTTTCACTGAAGTGGAATGGAGCAAAGGGACTTATTTTAAAACCACCTGAGTCGTTAATGACATATCCCTTTTTTGAAGCGTCTCAGAACTCTTCCTCCATTTTCAGAGGCCATATTTAGCAAATTTTTGTTTACATCTCATTCTCATGTACATTTTGATCAAAAATAGGTCAGAACAATGAGCTATAAAATATGACATATCATCGATTCTTATGAATTTGTTTTCTAGATTCATATACTCCATATAGCCCAGGTTTAGAAAGCTTACATTTGTGAACGAAGGCTCCTGAAAGTCTTATAAGGAAACATACTGATCTTGGACTTAGCTTTTCAGTAACCCGCTTCTCTGTCCCCATATTAGTTCTCTATCATGTGCAGTAAGAAGAGCTTTGCTGCCTTTACTGAAGATGATGGAGAACAGTGCACTCTTGTGGGACAAAATTAAAACCAGCAAGGAACAAAAATTCTACCTTTGCAGAAAATAACCTAACTTCATACAAGCAGTTGAGAAGCTGCAGTAAGAGAGGATGAATACTGTTTCTTTTTAGAGTATGATTCAGGACATGCACTGAATACAGTGGCTTGGTTCTAATTTTTTTTCCCAATTAAAATCTTTTGCTGTGCACTCACATATCATAATTTTAATTCAAATAGTAAAATTAAAGAGAAGCAAAAAATCAATAATAAAAGAACTAGTAATTTTCAATGGATTAAAAATCAATAGTACTTTTCACAAATGCTTTCATTTAGCAGCAAAGCTAACACTTCATGCTCTTCTGACTCGACAAGACAATGCACCACCTCACTTCAAGGAGCCAGGACACACCCTGTCAGGAACTATAAGATGCATTGCAACATGGACAAGTCAGTGTGACCAGACTTTCTGTAATCTCGTTCCTGTGCTACAAAATCTGCTCATTTCAACAGTTTGTTTTCTGCAAACCCAACAATCTATGGCATCTGTATGGCTCAGACAATCAGTAATCAGACAGACAACCCTTTCCTCCTAAATCGATAATTCAAATCCAAAGCAGTGACCAAAATCAATCCAATGACCAAAGGTCATTGCAGTCTGATGGATGCATGGTGACTGGTATGAAATGAGTTTGTGGTTTCACTCAAGGCATAATAGTCAACAGTCCTTTTAAGGGAAAGAAAGAAAACAACTTCACAGTTGATACCATTTTCTGTGCTGACAGATTTTAAAGAGAAACATAGAAGTGAAACTGAATTATCTTTTCACTCCCAAGAGGGCTGTGTTCAAGTGTGGGCTGATAGGTGTCCTTAGAAAAACTGTCTTGCTACCTGCTTTCTTTGGGGAAAAAAAGTAGAACCATGTTCCCTTAACCTTTCATATGCACCAACATCACCTGTAAATATGACCAACTAATTTGAAGACTTCAGAATGTTTTCTTTCAAGTCACAAGTATAAACCCAAAGACATAAAACAGTATGTACAGCAAAAAGCTATCTTTAGTTCAATATATCTGATGCTCATTACCTGCTCCAACTACTTTATCAATGGATATATTAGAAGCATCCAGTTCCTTGGCAAATTCATGCACAGCTTGATTGGGATCCTCATATGTATGTGGATCTACGTAAGTTCTCAGCCCTGGGAGTTTTACTGTGTAAAAACAAATTCAGAGAGAAAATGTTACTTAGACTTAATTAATCCTTCTAAAGAAAGTTCATGAGACAACAGTTTCAAATCAATAGAAGAAAAAGGTATACTGCTTCTTCAAATCAAACTGGTTTTGGTGGGCCTCCAGGAATCCTAACAAAGAGTGAAACCAGAGACACTAATGTCATTATTGCACAGGAGTCTGAAGACCGATTTTAAATACATCTGCACTTGCCATATTTAATTGCTTTTCAAATATTAAAATGCTACCTGTCCCTCCCAGCTTGCTCTATTTAGATGCTGCCTTATATTGTTCCTTTCAAGGTAACAACAAAGAGGTGAGGAACAAAATGTGTGATGCTACAGTCAACCTGAAAAGTTCTTAAGCATATATTAAGGAGAGCACAGTAACTCAAGTTCTTTCTTTCCAAGCCCTCCAACAAAATCCATAAGAAAATAAAATTATATATGAACAAATACACCTCTGCCTCAATCCCTCTGCTAGTACATACAAGGGTGGCATCCAGTTGTTGTTACTGTTAAAGTCTGGTTCTAGTGCTGAGTTACCCTAACGTCCACATTATTATTTTGTCCCCCTCTACAGTTTTCTGGCCAGGGATTGTTCTGCTTGCCCAGGGAAAGCACTAGTTCAAATGACTGAATTATTTTAAGGGCAGTCTCAAGCTCTCCACAATTCTTTCTCCAGCAGGGCACGTTTGGGGAACATATTATCATTCCCAATCTCCCTCTCCAGCAAAGATGCTGAAGGCAAAGCACAGCCTCATTCCCCCCCTGAGGTTCAAGGCTCTGCTTGTACTTTTACCCAGTACCTTCTGTGCTCACCTGTGTAGTCATTTTAGAACACAATGTTGTTTTGTTAACAAGAAGTAAAGTAACTGTTATATCCAGCTTGAAGTTTTCTGCTTCTGATACAAAGCCTGCATTCCTGGACATATATTCTAGCTTTTCCTAACTGTAACAACTGGTCTTTTAAAAGATATTAACTCCTCCTACAAATGCTGCCTTAACCCACTCAGGAATATCCTTTCCCGCTTGGCATTATTATATTGAATCAATCTGTTGACTGCTGAAATAGTTAAGCCTTTTTTGTTGGGGTTACACAGATGGGAAGAAATACCTTTGGACCATTAGTTAGAGCACACCATTGTTTTGTCAAACAATCCCAAGTGTATGTAAAAAAAAAAAAAATCAATTTTATGACAATTTATTGGCCTCAGAATTGACAAAGAAATGATAAAACTGAATTCCCAAGCTAATTGCCTTGAAACAATGCAAACTAAGAGCCGTGCTCTTAACACAAGGGCTGCGTGTGCGCGACATTAAATGCCAACTGTGTTTCCTTCAAGAGCCTGATGATTACAGAATTACTTGCAAGTAAAACAAAAAGTAATTGGCTGTATATTGCTGTTGGTTAAAAATCTTGTAAATGCTCCTTTCTGTCCATGCTGAATGTACATTACAGGCTCCTTCATACCCCCAATAAAAATAACAACAATTAAAAGCTTCTGCACTGTGGGGTTTTTGGCTGCAGATTTTTAATGCTGACCCCAGAGGTTCCCAAGATCAGGTGATGGTGACTGCAAGGAGAATAATCCCTTCACACCAATAATTAAGGGCAGCCTGTATAGTAACTGGGTTCTGTCATGAAAAACAGATAATAAACACATGCACATGTGTTAAGCTGTACTACTTTACAGCTCATTCTGTGCAAACATAATAATTTACATTTTCATTTTAACAGCATGAATTGCCCTAAGGGTAGCAAAAAAATAAAAAGGGCCTAGCCAAAGAAGGAAAGGGGAGAGGATCTGAGGAGGTGAAACATTTTTGCTCCTTTGAAGTAATATTATAGGATTTGTAATAAGGCTGCAGGGAATAGTTCATGGCCGAAACCTTTTTTAAAGTAATTCAGAATAAACTGACTGAAATAAAACAGCTGCTGTATTTAAGATTCTAAATGTTTACAACAGCCATGGAAGTCACTTTATCCTTTTTTAGTTCCTAGGAGCAAATCTTCTTATTCTTTGAGAAAGACTGTAACTTAGTAGAATAAAATTTCAACAACCACACACATACATACATACAAATCCTAACAGAAAAATATCTGCAAAATCAATAAATAATTTTCAAGAATTTCTAACAAAAATACCAGGTCTGTGATCGGCTCTGTTCTTACTACACAGTGAATCAGCATGGCACTACTCAGAAAACAGTACATAAATATCTAAATCCAAATTAAAAGCAATTTAATCCACAGGAATTTAACAGCACTGACATGTTTAAGAATAGTGATTGCAACTTTCCATTGTGTGGGAGTAGGAGAGCAAACTCTGACCTGTTATTTGTCTGTGACACTTTTTTTACTGGCTGCTTTTATTTTATAACCTCATTAAATTTGGATGATGAAGCATTAATTCTATGGGCCACATGTAACTGTACAGATTTTTTTGAGACTAGTTGGTTAGCAGTTGTTGGGCTACATGAAGCAAACCCACTGTTATAGGTTGTGTATCCCCTGACAGTGCAGGGGAAGGAGCCACGTGTTGAGGATATGCATGCTCACGGCTCTCAGGAGATAAGGAGAGGCTCCAAACTTAAAATAATAATAATAATATCAACAGAGAACAGTTACTCCATTGTCGTGGGGATCAGGAAGCAGTTTTAATTTCCAACTACTGCAGGTAAATCCCTCATTAAAATGTTAATTCAATTATGTTTGGTGGGGAGGCATCTGATAATGGTACCAACAGCTCTTTTTGCAGATGGTACAGCGCCACTGTTGTGTGCAAAAACCCCACATACATTAACCTTACAACACGCTAAGCAATAGAAATATATGATTCAACATGGTCTACATCATGTAGGAGGATATTTATCCTGAACTGAAACAGTTTCAAAGACAAACTACTGCTTCTTATTGAAAACATGCTCATTAGACACCAAGAATTCTGTGGGTGAAAAAAAAGGAATTTACAGTCTTGATGTTTTCAAGAAGTGCTATCTTTGTCCTGTAAGGATGAAAAAAATCCAAAATGCAGTGATAAGAAACCAAGAATTCCCTCCCTACTCCTGATCAGGAATGTTAAACTATGTCCTTCCTCTCTCCTCAGCTTCTTCTGCTTCCAAACTAGTTTATCTCTATTTTAAAGAGGGTATGGATGGAGCTTTGACTGTGATCTAAGTCTTCACAATTCACAGCTCCCCTGCTGTGGAAAAGTGCTGCAGGGTTATGCACACTGCAGAGAGCATCAGTGAGGAGCTGAAATACTGCCCCTTCCAGCCACGGGCCATAGCAAGCTACCTCCTCCTGGTAGCCAGGAGATGGTCCTGGGCTCAGAAAAACACCACTTCTTCCCCTGAGCATCTCCTGGATGGAATCATGCTCCATGCTGTCCCTTTCACAGGGCTCAGCAAATCAACTCAGAGTACCCAGGAATGAAGTCCCATTTAGCCTTATTAAAAATAGGCATGCAAACATTAGAAATGGGCTTTGAGTTTGGCTTTTGAACACATTTCAAAAGTAGCCCAGATTCCTCAGGATGAGCAAAATCTCATGTCTTTAACTATGTACAATTTTTGTGATACAAAGACTACATAAGTCAATAGAAAGGCTCTCTTCTTACTCCTGGATGACACCCAAAGAAAGCATAGACATATTCATTCTTGCAAGTGGAGAATCAGGATTTGAACAAAACATGTTTGTAAACAGCTGGATTTAAAAAATCCCACTAATCTGTCAGACACTTATTTAGTAGTTAGTCTTAATATAAGAAACTACTCCAAATCCTACTCCAAATCACTTTTCAGCCTATGCTTAGAATAATTCCGAACTAAATTAGAAGTGGGTCAACTTCATCAAGCAAGCAATTTTCACAATCCCTTCAACAGTCACCGAGATAGGTTTCATTGATTTTATATTTTGCTTTGGGAAAAAAATGTCATTTCTTAGACTTTATACAGCTGATAATGAAGAAGTTGAAGTTACACTCTGCATTTCAGTAATGCACAACAGAATCAATATCATATTGCTAACCACACGCGCTGTTTGAACATAGACAGCAATGTTTTGCTCATTACTAACTTGAACACAGATGAAAGAATTTGAAACAAAGAATAATAGTTTGGGGGAAATCTCCTTACCCACAAGAGAAGAGATAACTCTCTTCCCAATTTCACCTCGGTTTAAGTGAGGTGGGATTTCTTTTTTTTTTTTTTTTTTTTTAATTGAAAAATACCAGTTATCTAGGGGATGAATTCAACAGATCTGGAAGCATTAAAAGGCTTCAGTAACTTACAGTGGCCATTCCCAAAATGTAGTCTTTTATCATCACTGCCATGTTTAGACTTCTTGTATCCACAGAATCTACAAGAAACAGAGAAAAAGAATTAATATGGAGAATTTTATATGTTAACTGCAGGTGGAAACAGAAGAAAATGTTTTCCCTCCACAATTAAATGCCTGTTTGAAAATTTAATGATATTTATATTCGCTGTGCCCTATAGAGGCATGTTATGTTCTCTGGGAATTTGAGGAAATTGGCTAATGAGAGGATTTGTTGATTTTTGACCCCTACAGTTTAATTTTACAATTGCCCAAGAATGTGTTTATAGCATTTTTTTAACAACTGCTGCATGATTGGGGCTGCTAAGGTTAGTGGGCTCATTACTGAGCATGAAGCAGTATTTGGAGCTCCTGGGCAGCAGACAAAGGAGAAGGTGCAAACTGGCCACACTACTGCCCAGTGACACCCCATTGACTGTGCTCATCAAGGCCCCTTGGGGAAAGGGAAGTGGGAGTAAATGTGCAAACCAGACGATAAACTAACCTCCCAATCAGGACATACACCACAACTGTGAGGAGAATAATGGCTACTGCCGCTGAAATGGCAATCATTACGACCTGGCTGTTCTCACTGGAAATGGAGAATGCTGGAAAGTTAACACAAAATTATATAAATAACCTTCTCACACACAAAACATTGATTACATCACAACTGACACTCATACAGGGAACAGACAGATTAAGTCATCACTATATAGCATTTGGTCTCCTGCCAAGCATTTAATCTACTAAGTAATTTTTAAGCAGAAAAATAAATACAAGGAATGGAAACAAAAGACTTCAGTCATCTTTGACCATTTGCCAAAGTTGTTTCTGCTACTGCTGATTTTTATTCTTGCTTATTATAGTACCTGCTCTTATAATATATAAACATATATGTAAATAGAAACATACATGTCATGACATACGTATATTTTGTCATGGTCAGTACGGTGGTTTTCCTTGGCAAGAAAACCCAGCCAGTCAATAATCGTCACCCTTACTCTCACTTCTGTATGATGGAAAGTGCTTGAAAGAGTTAAGTTAAGCTTGACAGTATCCCCATGAAAGCTGTGAAAACCAGGGCACACAGAAGCACATAGAAGGACTATCCATGGTTAATCAATGCCTATAGGAAAAAGATGGGCTACTTTCTGCCTTACATTGGAGGCTTCCCTACAGCCCTTAAGTGTGAAACTTCAGTGTGCTAGACTGCTATGCAATGACAGGATGCCTCTAGGTCTTAGGTATGATGAACCTTCCTCAGCATACACCTATCAAACTTCACCGAGCACAGCAGCATCAGGTGCCTCAGCTCTATGCTTCAAGTCAATTGTCTAAACTGAGCGGAAAGCTAGCCCTCCTGCTCCCCACAAGTGGGACGGTTTGTCTACATGACCGCTTGAGGTCACACCATTCCCCTTGGGAAGAAGCCTCTGCCTATTACAGACCTACAATGTACTCATGTACTTATGATAACTTGGCAATAGGAATCAAGTTCCGTGATTTGACGCCTATCTGTGTAACTTGTACACTCATTACTGAGATGTGCACCACTGTCTCCTGCCACCTTCCACATTTTTGCTCAGATACATTATTATTATTATTGTTGTTTTAACATTACTTGGCAGAGAAAAATCATTACCTTCTAAATTATGAAATTTGTTATCACTGCAACTGTTTTTTTTTTTCTCCTTGCTGGACTTGTCTGTCTTATCTTGAGTTCCAGTTTCATCCAGTATGCCAAAGCTACATGTCATTACAACAGCAATTTGTAACTTTTTTTTTTTTTAAATAAGCTTGTTTGCTTTTCAGAATAAGAGCTGAGGTGGGGGAGGAAGAAGTGGGGATGAAACACATATCTCAAAAACACATGGATGCCAAGTGCAAGACTATTTGGTTTATGCTACTCTTAGCTAAAACTTCGTTGCTTTAGCAGAGCACTTCTTAATTCATGGATTCTCAAACTTTATCACGAGTACATGAATAAGCCTTATGAGAGTGTATCAGAATTAAAGTCCTTAGTTGTGTTATAACTCTGAACAGCAGATATGAGTCTCCTGTAAAAGTCTTGCTTCTAAAAATCAGTCCTTGATTATGCAGCATTAGTCTACACCAGTAACTGGGTACCTAAACAAAGGCTGACTTTTTGATGCATTAAGCTACTTTCAGCTTCTAGCAAGCAAAAGGTCTGATTTACAATATAGTACCAAGTGATGTGAAAGTAACATTTAAAATGATGAGCACTATTAAGAGTCTTTCTGATATAATAAAAGAACTTGTAAAGAATAGAGGTCATCAGTTAAACAATGTTATTATCTAGGCATTAGACAAAAAAAGGAGTGCTGGACCATTAAATAACTTCTCCAAGGCCACTCAGAAATGTAGTGACAGAGAGGAGAAGGGAGCCAAACTGCCCAACTCCCTGACCAGCTGCTCAAGTGAACGACTGTCCCTCCTGGCCTGTGCATATCAGTTTCATCTCAAGGCTATGCGTGAGACTACACTTCACAGCAATGTGCTGAATTACACACTGACCCACAGGAGCAATGGACCAGTATAACATTAATTCTTTTGGAGCAGAAGTTTATAGGCCATAGGATTCAGGCTAAAAATTTGGAACAGCACAAGGCTATGAATCCATTTTTCTATCAAACTTCCTCTCTCAGCAGGTATAGATTCTGGCACTTTGTAGGGAACAGAAGAAAATATCAGTTGTGATATTAATGGTATACTCTTTATAGCATGTTTCAAGTTTAACAATAAAACATAAAGTTATATAGTAACGCTACCCAGAAAGACACATCATAAATAGCTGTGAGTCACATTTACTAAACTAGAAAGGGAGTGAAAGCAGCCATTCAAATCAGTCAGAAACTGGGCAGGATGTCAGTTTAAAGTTTGAACAAATACATACAGTCCGGACTGGTTTCAAATTCAAACTTGCGGCTGTTTGTCCCATATCCAGCTGCAGTTCGGGCTCGAATTTGGAAGACATAGGTTGTATCAGGTTTGAGGCCACTGATGGTAACATTGGTGCCTTTGGCTCTCAGAATAGTATAGCTTGTCTCCTGTTCCTGCTTTTGGGAAGAGAAATTATCAGATTAAAACCACACCCTAAAAAAACAGAAACGAGAGGTGGTTGGTACAAAATTATTACAAATCACCTGGGGAGCACTGACATATTTTTTGAATATTTATAGCCTGGCAAATGCTTGTACAGCCATTCATTTTGCATCAGCTAAAAATCTTTTGATTAGCAAGAAATCTAAACCATTGGCGCTTCTACGGCTTTGTGCTGTAAATAAAATGCTTGATGAGTATACGATATTTCTCAAAATATCATCATTTTGTCCATAGTCTGTAACACAACAAGAAATTAAGATAAAAATGTTATTTCAAAACCATAAAAAAAAAAAATTGCCTTCTGCACTGACCTGGAAGTTGTAACAGGCCAACTTAGACGTTTCTGGGATTTGCAGAGCTATTGCAGGATGCAGTTTTTACTGCCTCACATTTTACAAGACAGCGTCTACCTTCGTAACAGTCAGAAGAGAAACCTCACTCACGCTCTCCTTACCTCAGGTCTGTGAACAGGCGAATATAACTGTTTTTCTACTATGCTATAAACATTATGGGACTGATGCATCCATCCTCATTTAGGCAAAACCCCACTGAACTTGCTCCTGTGAGTCTTGGGCTTTAGTAGCCAGAAAGGAAACGTGTGTTTTGCTAAAGAGCAAGGTGTGTGTCCACTACAGACGATACGCTCACAAGCACACTCTGTTTAACAGTCACATATTTCTTACATAATGACTTTTTATATAAAATAAGAAATGGACCATTTTGTAATTAAGTAAGTTTGGATACACTTTACACTGTGTAAAAAGCTAATTCTGATAAATGTATGTCTCAGTCCCACTGTAAGCACATACTTTAAAAATTCAAGTATGCATTTGGGGCCTGAGGTATTGCTTATTTTACTAAAGCCATCCTCTACTTAAAGAACATTTTTGGCTCTCTAAAAATGGTAGCTGGAACTGCCTCAGAAAAAATCTTGGACAACTGCCACACATGTGGGGGAACTGCGACAATCTCAGTTGTTTAGGTTCACAATTATGAACTTTTTTATTCTAGAAGTGGTGGGGATTTCATACGCTGCCCTCTTACTTTGAACATTCTGAAATACACTACAATCATTGAGTTTTGCCTGGTTGAAAGCAGAATCTAGGTTAACGCATGTCGGATGCAAACAATCTCACCCAATTCTCATTATGTTTTATGGCATTGCATTAGCTCGCAGGGTACTGACATTTTAACTCTGAACAACACTAGAGCAATGATGTGCAAGTACAGAGGTTGGAAAATATTCAACACATTCATTGTCAAAGCCAACTCACCTTCATGTGAAAAATTCAAGTGACTAGAGCTGTTTAAGTGTGTTTGCTCTAGCGTGCTGTGTAGAGTATGAAAGGTGTATTCTAATTTAGTTGACATCAGAAACTCTTCACTTTGGTGCTACGGAAGCCTAACTACCTTGTTCTTGGCAGTCTTTGATATAGAGAGAAACAGAAACACTTACACTACAGTTGAGGAAATTGCCAGAATGTCCACATAATATTCAACATTATGTACATGAGTAATCACGTGAAGGAGGGGGGCGGGAAGCACTGAAGCCTGTGGCTGACAGTTACCATCCAGAATCAAAACCTCAAATAGGGTGAGCTGGACCTAGTCTTCAAAGAATGACTATAAAAATGTTTACCATGGCCCATTTTAATCGCACACTAAGAATAAAAAGGAAATCAACATTGGACCTCTTCATGGTTTCCCAATACTTCTCTGAGAAAGTTTTCTGTTATAAATTCAGGGGATAAAGCTTACAGGAAGACATCCTAAAGTGCTAACAGGTTTGTGTAAAATTATTTATTTTTGAACTAACAAAGGGCTAGTATTGTAATTTGCAGGCTTTTCTTATAATTCAGTTCAATGTAGCAACTATTTTCATTTCAACAACATAATAATCTTGTCTTTAAAACACAAAATCTTTTCTGTATGCTGTGACTGGACATTCATTTTGATCTCACTTCGGGCTGCTTTTATGAAACGCAAACATTTCCTCCTTGCGCTGATACATACGTGCAAGGGAAAATATAGTCATGGCCTTGTCTGTTAATAATCCACAATGGAACTTGGAAAATAAACATTTAAAACAATGGTATGGAGGATGTCATGGTATCTTAGCTTATGGCAAGCTTTTTACACACATATTTTGTAAGTCATTTTTTACGTTACTAGTAATCAAATCAGTGAAACACCACATAAAAGCCCAAGTTTATCTTTCTTGGGAGTGAAGTAAAACTTGGGAGATACAGCAGTACAGCTGCCATAAGCAGAAGGAATATACAAAAAGGAGAGTTAGTCCTTGCCAAGCAGAACTTTAATCAAACACTCTTCATGATGATAAATTTGAACTTGGATGCACAAAGCGTATTCTTCCTGAATACTTCTGCATAGTTTACCAGACACAATTTTTACTGGGAGGCAAATCCCACTACCGTTACTGTCTCATTTGCAAATGACATTTTATAATTTTAAACCATATTTTACAAAGGACATATTTTGGATACATTTAACATTTATAGTGGCAGTACTATTGAGAGGGAACGGTATGTCCTTTTTCAGATAAGCACAGTAAGTTTTTATATTATATGAGGAAGAACATTTTCTCCTTCAGCTGCATGTACACTCGAGAGGCCAAAACCAAACCCCACCACACCTTTGGGAGGAACCCACAGTCCCAACAACACTGCTTCTCCTTATTGCCAGGCGTGAATTGTGCATCGATACAACAGTTCCTACAAACCTCGGGGAGTATATGTGACCTACCTACCCTCAAAGCCAGAATAATAAGAGTTTAAAAGTTACTAAATGCATTTGCATATAATTTAATTTTTCAGCCTCAAAAAGAGCACAAACTAGATCTCATTATTTATTTGTTGGCTTTAACCAGTCTGCTGAGCACACAATTTCAATTATGGCAAAGGTAAATCTACTTTAATACTGAGAGACTGCAGTTAAATTTCACTCATTATTAAGGTGAAGTCTGCTGCAAACAAAGTGTGTGGGATTTAGTTATCATAATTGTAAGCTGCATATTTAAATGAAACAGCTAATAGTCTGTGGTATTTAGGAAATGGATTTTTGCATATCTTTGCATGACAAGATATTCCTTCTGGAGAACATAATTATGTGAACAAAGACAAGGAGGAAACAAAGTATCTGCCTGTGTAAGAAGAAAACCCGACTTCTGTTATACTTGCACTTTGACAGCTGAGACACTTAAAATCCAGCACAGCACTATATGGATGGACTAAACCAGGGTGTCATTTTGTACCATTAACTTAACATAAAAATATTATGCCTTACCATAAAATAAATGCCTAGAAGTTTTCTACAGTATTCCTCTGAAAGAGGATTTTATTTCTTTTAATTTTTTTTAATAAATAGTGAGTGGGGTCTCATAAACAGGCCCTATAGACTTTTACAGAAAATACAATTCTGTTCCAAACACTGAGTCTGAACAACTTTCCATCTCAGTTTATAACGTTATCCATTAAAATTCCATCGGTTCATTACAAAATGTTAAAATACTATCTGAAAGCTGTAGCTTCTAATTTCTCCAGAAACATCACATAAGTCTTTATTATCTCTTGGTTACACCAATTCAATTCCTGGTGAAAAAACCACTGAATTCGTTAATTAATTACCTGTGGAGAAAATAAATATTTTCCACATGCTTTATACCAATAATGCATTAGGAAAACTACAGGATATCATAATTTAGATACAGGATGCATAAAGGATGCTCTATTTTTATTCAAAACCTATTCCAACATCCTGAATATTACTAATGTGCAGATGTTAATAAATATCAGGTATCTTTGAAATTTAAGGACAATTTAACAAAGTAAAAAAAAAAAATCATTTGCATGGACAAGGTATATGACAGAATTGGTCTGACCTGTATTACTCTATTAATGCTGTATTTATTAATTTCTAAGAGATGACAAAAGGTATGGCAAGTAAAAACAAGCAGGAGGGAAAAGCATGACTCAACATAAATAATCTACCAGCAATCGGGTATGACTTGTCAGGGGAAATACCCAGATTGCTAACTGTGCAGGGTCTGTTTCCCAGCAGCTGCCATTTAACAGCTGTGGGTTTCCTGATGAGCACAACCAAGATGATATCTGAAGCAGAAAATCAAGCAGACTGGACCAGTTTGAAAAGAAAACTCTCTTTTTAAAAGAGGAGGGGAGAAGGGCTACTTAGAAATCTCAGGCTGAAAAGTAGCATCTTCCAAAGGTGTTTGGCGAAGAAATGAAGAGTAACAGTCCAGCATGGGCTGCTCTGACCTCAGGTAAGTTTAACATGTACAGCGTAGTAGCTTTCAACCTTTTTCAATTTGCAGACCTAAAAAGGGCAATGGATTAAAGCCTCCTGACAACAGATTTGTTTTTCTTAGTTACCTTTCATAAACCCTGAGGAACAGGCTTCTGACTCCCCAAGGGACCGCAGACCACACATTAAAAGCACTGGCGTCAGAAGGTTGTTTTTTAAAAACCCTTTGTTCTAAATGGTCTGGCTCCTATTGTCAAGCACTTGACTCTTTGGTTTAGGAAAGCTGTCTGGGGCACATGAACTCTTGATCACAGACTTCAAAGGGAAGAAACACATGTGCAAGATCAGCGTCATAAGACTGGTTGTCTTATGAAGCTGTCTTATGACAACCAGTTGCTCCATAAGACTGGGTGTAGTTGGTGGGAATAGCAGCCACATGGTCTATGCATCCAACAGTACTGGGAGGTGACAATTTTCTTGAGTAAAGCAAGCCAATTTCAGTGTAGAACAATGATCAAACCACCGCAAAAAAAATCAAATACATAAATAAAAATTCTTGGTCATTCCACTGAAATGAACTAAATGTACACAAGGGAAAAACTTCTCTCCCTTTGGAGCAACCAAAACCAAAGAGATCACCCTAACACCACAATGCACAACAAGCCTGGGTGTTATATCCTGCACCCCACAGTACTGACGCGGAGCTGCCCACGCAAGGATTTCCGCTTGGGAAGACTGGAGGTGTAGCTGAGAGGGGGCTTCCGCAGCTCAGGAAAACAAAGGTATGGCCAACGGCAGCAAGAGCAGCTAGGCAGGTCTCAAATGAAGCGTGAGTTAACCACGTGGTGAAATAGCATGGCCTGTGCAATACAGGAAGAAGTTCTTGGAACTTTCAGGTGTAGGCTTTTTGTAAGGTAAATAGCTCTTCCAGGCCTTACTAAAAGGCAAGATCTATTTTCTTTCCTTTAAAAATATAGGAAACAAAAGAGCTTAAGTAATTCCTACATCCCTTCAGTGCTCAGGAGGTACAAATAAAGACAATATGGTGTATGAGCTGGTTCTCTTTTACTTCTCAAGCCCAGGATCTAGACTTCATCCTGTCTCCATTGAAATAACAAAAAAAAAAAAAAAAAACCAAACCAAACCAAAACAAAACAAAATGAAAGTCTATAGGCTACTGCTCCATAAGGTGAGACCAAACTGAAATGTTTAGAAAGCTTTCTTTTTCCCTTTTTATCAGTAGTACTATGTATATTCAGATTTTTACTAAGGTCTTTGAAGGTTCAAGTGCTCACCAAGAAAAGGTCACCCAAAATCAGATGACATATTAATTTGGGAGAAATCTTTTCAGAATATGGCCTTCCAATCCCCATTCTTCTGGAGATCACACATGGACTATCAATACCACATTGTCCCACTGGTAAGCTCCATGAGAAAACTTTTTAAAGATAACTGCATATTTGTGGAGTCTTTTTAAAAGCAGTGAATTTTGGCACCACATATTCCACAGTACGTATTAAATATAAGCTTGATTTCTAGATATGAACAGCATTACTAAATGCTAAATTAAATCACTATTTCTGACATTTCTTCAAAGTTTGTCAACTTCAGTATCGAAATATCCTATCAAAAGGTCTCTCTGACCAATATAAAAATGGCTAATACTGCTCTTCACAATCTTCACAACAGTTTATGGTCTTTTCAATTCTACTAGTAAGATTTACTAAAAAACACCATTCTGCTATGAAGATCTATTTTTTTCCTAAATACACATCTGTATATAATGTAGAAATCAACAGATGTAAATATAAGAAAATATCAATATAAAAGACAACCTACTTAATGGCAGATTTTCTTTTATTTGTAGTTATTTATGTAAAATCTATGAAGAATTCAGTTATTCATGAAAAGTGGGAACTTTCATAGTGCAAACCAGTCACTATAAGGATTGCCCATCTCTTTTCCAAATAATTTTTGTGTACAAGATGCTTGCTCCACAGGGAAGCACCAGCTCATGGATGCTGACAAATAAATGTATGAACATGGACAGCATAACAGAACTGAGTGAGTAAACTGTACTCAAGGGGAAAAAAAGTATTACAGCTTGTCTGCATTACCTTCTCTATTTGCTCTGATGTGTTTTGGGGATGAACTTGGTAGACAACACAACTTAACAATTTTGCTTCATATTTTCATTATGTTCTCCATACCAAAAATTGAACAGTTTCAACACTTAGAGTCATTGAGGTGGCCAGTGAGTGAACAGGGGTGTCTCTGAATCCTTAACATAGGCAAGGTGCAGTCATTACAGTATTACCAGAACAAAAACCTCCCCTTCAGTCTTTCTTCCCACCTTTTCATAGTATTTGACCTCGTAGTCCAAGATGATCCCATTCGGATGTTCGGGTTCTTGCCAAGACAGAGACACGCTGTTCCTTGATGTCCTGTCTTTCCTTATGACCGTGATGGGGGACGGAGCTGTAAAGGGGGGGAGGAGGGAATACAGAAAAGCAGACTGAGTTTATCTCTGTTCCAATCCTTGGCAAAGAGTATTGTTTCCATTTAAAAGACTCATGAGCATAACTCTGGACTTGTATCAACATTCAGCAGCTGGATTATAGTCCTGGTACACATGCCTTAAACATACTGGCCTCAAGGAAAATGAACTGAGATTTTCTGTTAGACTGGAGGACTAGTGGCAAGACAGCAGCTGGATTTGATCTGCTACTACAGTGGAAGCAATGAAATACATTCGATATACTAAAAGAGAGAACAAAATAACAGTACTACCTATTTTTTATAATGCTGAAGTATTATCATTACCAGACTCTGCAGAACTCCGATAACATTTCCATATGCAAGTGTAAAACAGTGCTGGGATGCATTATGTACAAGGAGCTCCTGGTATACACGGCTAGTAATAACCATCAGCATACTGCAGAATACAGCCTCTTTTATAACGTTATTTGGTAAGCTCTCCAGATACAAATTGCTCCCATATACACTTCTCCTTTACCACATTTCTTTGAAAATGAAATTTGAAGAGAAAAAAATTAAACTACAAAATGACCTCATTGCTGATCTGTATTAATCAGAGTCAGGCATGACAACTGATTGCAAGCCACAGACTCACCCACCACCCAAAACTTGGAAGTACTATCAACGTTACAGAAAAAAAAAAAATCATAATTACCTAAGATTCTTGAACAAGAGTTCAGCTCTAGACCACCCAGCTCTATGAGTTGTTCCAAGACCAGGCCTAGGTTTCCTGGACTCACTGAAAGCTACGCAATTTTTTAATTATTTTCTCTGCTTCTTTTGGGTTGGCTTCCCACTCCAAATGCTTCTCTTCCATGGTTTTGGCCAAAATTTGTCAGATGATAACTTACAGATCACACATTAAAGGTCACAACTGTAATTTTAAAAAAAGTCTCTTACCAATAAACAGCCTTTTATCTTAACATGTAAACCAAATGTGTGTATAAGTTCAGCATTGTGCTATCCTAATAGAAAGGCTCTAGCCGATCTAAACAATTTAATTTCATCTGAATCCTATGAAGCTTTTACTGTTCATGTAAAACTGGTTTCACTTTACAGGCATTACACATTTGCATGCATTAGTCACTGCCCTTTTTGTTTTGGTTTTCACTCCTGCAAGAGATCTTTCAAAAGCCAAAAAAAAAAAAGTTTTAATTAAAATAAATTTTTCAAAATTCACCCTGTGTTTGATTTTGCTAAACTTCCATCAAAATATACTTTCTACTCATGAGTCATAATCTAATTTTTGACATCCTCCTTTAATTGAGTAGAGCATCTAGAAAGCTACATACACCTGCAGAAGCACATACATACACACACACTTCCACATTTGTTCTGGGTTGAAACATGTCCTCTGAGCAGCATTTTCACGTCACGTGGTTCACAATAGTTTTATGAGAAGATTAAAAAGATGCAAAAATCCTCTTTTCTTTTCTTTTCTTTTCTTTTCTTTTCTTTTCTTTTCTTTTCCATTTTTTTTTTTTACAATAGGAAGAATTTATCCTGAATTTAAATTACTGAAATCAGATTTTGAAGGCTTGTTTTGTCGGGTTTTGGGGTTTTTTTGTTTTCAAGTAGAATGGGAAAGATTTTTTTTTGTCTCTTTCTATTTCAGTTAGACTCACCAGATCCGTGCTTGGGAAAAGAGCTGAAAAGCATTAGGGCAAGGTATACAGGACTGGTTTGTAAAGAACATCCTTCAGTAATTGCACTTGAATTCCACTCAGGCACAAACCAGTGCTAGAGCCAGAATACGAACTGGTTAGCTGGCTGGACTACTCTACTGTAGCCAGCTCTAAGGTAACTCATATATCCATGCTTGCTGCTTTTATGCTCTTGTAAGTCATTTTTATGTGTTCTTTTTAAGTCAATCTATTAATCTTTTTTTGTGTGTGAATAGATTGCCAGGCCCAGTACTCCAGCTGGTAACACCTCCCATTAAGGTAACGTTAATACAGATTTTATGAATAATTAATATATGATTAACAGAAATGTCTTTTTCCCCTAATAAATTATGGTAATTTGTGCTACAATGCATTTTGGGGCAGGCTGAAATAATCTTATATGCTCCAATACAGATGTGCTTTAAAAAAAGCTTTCTTCTAACACAGTATTAATTATTTTGAGCTCATTTACACACATCTCTGCAGATGTTACCAGTAACTTATCTCACAGCAGTTTATTAGAAAAGTGTCTGCTCTGCAGTTATCAATAACATTATAAAACATTCATATACCTTTTCTAATCCCTAGGGTTCTCAAAGCATCTTAGAAATTACACATAAATAGTGTCTGGAAGAGACAGCATCCCACTGCATGGGCAAATGGAGGGGAAACAGATAATCATGGGGGACAAAAAGTTTCAGGCACCCTTAATCCCACGCACAGAACAGATCTGAGTTCTACAAGACAGTGCTGCACACCAGGCTACTCCAACAGCTACTGAACCCCTGAACTAGGGAAATTACATATTCCAAATTTGTTTAAGCCACCATCTTAACTATGGTGATTACAAGTTACCTAGTTTTAAGGCATTAATCTTCAGTGCTTAAAGGAACAGTGCCTTCAGATATTTCAGTGGTCAACTATTAATTTCTAGAAGATAAACCACACTATTTGTGTTCAGAGAGGAAGATAAGTATTTGTAACAATTTTAATTTTTAATCTTGTATAGTGTCTTCTATTCTTGTTAAGCCATCTTTTATATCATCTGAGCATTTTAATTTTGAAGCACACGATGTTAAAAACAAAGACTCAATATCTAGGTATAGATTTCATAATTTTCATGCTGTTCCCATCCCCTCTGTGTGTTCATATTGGATTTCACAAGCCGTAGCTGATTTTGATCCCTCTCTACATTTCTGTTACATGAAGCAGAGACCTGGAGAGCACAGCCCTCACAAGAAGCTCTTCCAGCAGCTCCTCTCGTGGCACTATGTCAGGCTGACAGCTCTTCGAAGCACAGGCACAACTGAATCGTGCTGGTCCAGGGCTGATTTCAGCATCAGGACCCTCCTCCTACAAAAAGGGGAGCAGGGAGGAGCAAGGACAAATCTTGACCTGAGCATCCCCAATAGCCAGCCTTGCGGACCCTTGTGGATGGGGGCAGAGAAAGGAGTCAGAATACTGTGCCTGGAGGGGCTGCCATCCCTCATGGCCCATCACAGCAACCTGGCTTTCCCCAAACCAGACTCTGCTGTAAACCAAGAGACAGAGGTGGCCTGGCTCTTCTGCTGTGCCTGCTGTCACGCACAACTGATGTATCTTTCTCCATTTACTAAATTGTTTCTTTGCCTACATCCAGAATCAATTCCTCTACTAACCCATGGGATTGACTGGTGAACACATGCCAATTATCCTTTGGTTTGACCAAGAGGAGATAAAATTTAAAAACTACCGGAAAAGCACATGGCATAGGCTTTCTTTGCTGGTCTGCAAGAATCTGGACTGTTATCTGGACTGTAATCTACTATGCCTCTTAGATAGGTAGGTTCGAAAAGCATTAGAAGTCCTTGAACCTTAAGAATATTTAAGATATCTAGAATCTCCATTTTTCATTGCTGTTTCAGGATTTTCCTTTCTTAAAATAAAAGACAATTAGATCGTGCAACAACAGAATGCTGGAAAAAATATTTTAAATGTCTGCAGCTCCCATTGACAAAAAAGAATCTTGTCACTACAGGTTAGCAAAAAATGACATATTATTAAGCTTTTTTAGATAAACAGAAGTTTTAAAAAATTATATTAAAGCATCAATATCAACATAGAGTTAGGTTAAGTTAGTTTATCATTCACAAAACATACATTTTAAAGTAAAACTTAAAAAGAGTATTTTTTTAGACTAAGAAGTTGAACAAATGTGGTTTCAGTGATTGTTGGATATATCTTATGGCTTGTATATCTCTATGTATTTATGTTTTTATTGGTGTTTTGATTAATGTATTAGTACTCTTAACTTCACTGAATAAGTGTTGGGTTTTTTTATAATTAATTTTAGGCTCACATGTCCAAGCATTAAGAGGTTTATTCTCAATAGTCACATGCAATCCATATAGAGGCATTTTTACGCATCGGCTGGTTAGTTTGTCTGGTACTACAGTTTAACTGGTTTATGACTATTTTAAGCAGTTAATATGAACTTTCAAAATTCCCTTGAGTTAGAAGGGGAAATGTACTTCAAGTGCTCAATGTTGTTAGGTAGCATTTGTGACAACTGGGAATGTGAATGTTGAAAAGGTAACGAATGCAATGATCCAGGGAGCTTAGACTCACAAGTGTAAAAACCTCCTCACTCTTGACTATTAAAGGTGCAAGCAAATAACATGAAGGAGCTAGCAGAGAGGACAATAAAACTCGCTCAAACTTATTTCCCAGCGAAACTGACCCCAACAGATCATTTGTTTTCCTCCAGTTTAATAGCAGCTATATATAAATCTCCTTATTGACTTCTTCCTTATTCCTTGGTTATTGTTTTCATATGTGACTGGTTTACAGATGTATACTTATACTGGAAGAAAATTCCCTGTCCTGTGACAGAGAGAACTCAGTATTAACTTTGGGAGGCCATGTGCATACAACTGCTGAAATATTTAGAGTCCTGTTGTTTCTTGCTTATGTCTCCAGATCACAAATTAAATATTAGGGAAGGATTTCATTCTAAAATGACCATGGCCTGCTCACTTCTAGCTTTTGCTTGCAACCAGCTATCAATGTTAAAGAGTAAAATATTCCAAGATATGCTGAAAGATGGTAATCAAGAACACAATCAGAGATAGTAGAACCTACTGTATTACCCAAATTGCAACTTCTTCTGCAGTGGTGAATAAATTGAAGGCTTGTTCCTTTTTCCTTCTGTAGAAAACTGATGATTTTATTACCTAATCATAATACTGTCATCCGATATAATGTATAAATTTTCTTTAATGTCTATGATGTCCGTAG